TATATATATATATATATATATATATATAGTACTTATTGCAAAAAAAAATATTACTTTGGTCAAGTAAAACGAACCAGAATCTCTAGCATTCCGTACAAGCGTCCTAAACTTTTAGACCATCAAGGACTTAGCAATATTCTTTGCAACAGCCAATCTGTTATTGCTGATTCTTTGGTGATCTAAAGGCTTAGGACACTCGCATGGAATGTTAGAGATCCAGGTTTGTCTCCCAGCCGAAGTAATCTAAGTAAAAATAAGTAAGTATTTTTCGCAATAAGTTCTTTACAAATTAAGTATTTAAGATACATGTAATTCAATTTGAAGAAATTATTAATATTTCAGATGGATTGTGTTGAAAATTCACAATCCAAATTCATTTCAAGAATTCGTATATGTATTGATTTAATACCTAACTCTAATCGTCAAAGTGGCATTTCTCATATTTAGGTAAATGTTGTAGTTTTTAAATATCCGCATAAATCAATATTTTTGCTCTATATTGACAAATCTACTCACAATATAATTTAAGTTTTGAATCATATAAAATAGGATTTGATCATCTCCACGCAGTCTTATTATTGACTTGTTGTATTATGACACACTATTCATTCATAATTTGCTTCTAATTTTTAATCTATTTCTAACAGTTTATTGAAAGTTTATTAATGACTTGTAGAAATTCCTATAAGATCTAAGCAAATTTGTTGCATAAATCTTACTACTATCGGTTTGTTTATTAATTAATTATCGTCTTATTATATCAATAGAGTATGCTACTTTGATTGTATGTAATCATATTTCTGATAACTGGAAGTATATATATATAAAATAATATGTAAAAAAGATTATAAATTGTAAAAATAGTGATAAGTTCATTAAACATTTATTACAGATTAACATTATACATTAAATAATTATCAGTTAAAGAGTAAACTGTTAAAATAGTAATTAATAATTAATTTTTTATAAGTTAAAATAAAAATTAATTAAAAATTGACACAGTTAAGTAGAAACAAAGGAAGGCGTATGTCAAACGGAATGGAGAAAATGGATTTTATACGCAAAACTGAATAGAATTCCGACATATTTTTATGACCCAATTTTTCCAATGTCTAACTGGAGATGTACTGTCAGGCTGATTAAACATTTTAACGTCGTACCTTTCAACCACTCGCATACTTGATCCGCTTTCCATTCGGCTATATTTACATAAGCCATTGCAAAAATATAAATTGATTCAAGCACAAACAAGTTCCCACAGATCTGACACTTAGTCCGCGGCTGTTCCAATTTTTACTCGATCTTATTACCCATCCATTTCAATAGTTCCACAAAAGTAGGTACATAAAAATAAGTTGATGGCGCGAGCAACATGAATGAACACGAATTAGCATGTGTTCGGAAACGCGCTGATAACAAAACAGGTTGCGTTCAGAAATTCACCCGGATGCATCCAAAGACGTAAGCCTAGTTTACATTGCGCATTTACTAACTAGTAATTTTCTATTAAATTATTTTAATTTTAGCAATGTGTATATATATATATATTTAAAGAATGATATATTAAATTGAAATAATATGCATAAAAATAATTAATTAAATGCACATGTCATGTATATGTTTACACATAACGCCAAAATTAAAATAATTGATGGAGATAAATTTTATCTCCATAATCCATTTTGCACCAATCAGCGCTCAATGTTAAAGCGTTTGTCCATATGAGGATTTAACTTTAATCTACATTGAGAAGCAGACATTAATGACTGTTATAAATAATTTTGGAGTAAATTCTGTGCGACTCAATTTTATAAATTTATGTAGAGATTAAATGTTATCATTCGAAAGATAATTGTTTTCATTTACGTACAATTGTATAAATTTATATATTTGCAATATAAATATGAAATGCATTATGATTTGCTATAATAAAGACAATTATTTTATCGTTTTTCGTGATTTGGATAGGTTAGGAGTAAAAATAGGATCAAAATAGGGTAACTGTTTAGTTTAGAATACAAAAATGGATAAAAAATATATCACTCGACGCGTTTTTTTTTTGTGAAATAAACGAATCTAGCAGAAAAGTGTTACTCTGTTTCGTGGAACGAGATATTAATCGTTGAATTCGATAACTATTAAGGTTAGGAAATGTGTTACATGCGCATTCGCTTTAGATATTTGTTTTTATTTATCTGCTTTATAAATACGTATATTCTTTGCTTTAAAAATAAATTCTTTGCCTTAGAAACACAAATTTTCTGCTTGCAAAACAAATTATTTTCTTACATAATTTTTTTTTAAAGCAAAAGAATTTACGTTTTATGCGTAAGAGAATTTGTGTTTTTAAAATAGAGAAATATCTAAAATGCATGCGCATGAGCATGGACGATTGTAGCGCATGCTCACATCATAGTATTAGCATGGCTGTGATATACTTCCTAATCTCAACAATCCTCAATTTAAAAAATTGATATCTCGGTTCACAGAGCAGAGCGACACTTATTTTCTGTCAAATTCGTTTATTTTACGAAATAAAACTGCATCGATTAGTATTGCTTTAAATCAATTTTGGTGTTTGCTAAACTAAACAAGTACCTAAAATAGGAAACAAAGCCAGAATAAGGCCAATCAACGTTGGCGCCGACAGGAAAATAACTAGGCATTTTTACGAAGTACGAATGTTCAACGTGTCAGTCCAACGTGTACAAAAATTCCGGGAAAGGTATATTGCCTTCGATAAGGACTATTTTGCATGCTATTCAAAAGTGCTAATTACCCTATTTTGTGCATTATCGTAATAATTATCGTAGCTTTTAACGCTTTTTCTAACCTAGATCTTTACAAGGATCTGAATTTTTCAATTTGTTTACCAAAACTTACACGGTTGATTGTCACTGTAGAAATGTCAATATGATATGTATATATTATTGAATGTAATGTGGATTGTACAAAATAGGTTTTATTTTAATTAGTTTATCTTAATGTATATTACGAACCGAAAGTAACGTTCTGTATTATGAAAATATATGTCATATGTATATTATGAATTATTCTTTACTGTTCTATTTCCTGATTTATTTTTTCTTTTGCAAATAAATATTGTTTTTTTTTGTCACTTATTTACATTCTTAACAATTACCTTTATACCTCGATAATAATTAATATTTTACACGTGAATGTATTATACATTATCTTTCTTTTCGTGATTGCAGAATCAAAACTGATTGTTTTGTAAGAGAGATTAGAAAAATAATGAAATATTTTTTTTTAATAGAAGGTTGAGATATATTTCTTATAATTCTAGGAAAAATGTAGTTTGTGAAAAAATATTTCCAAGTTTTAAAAAAGTTCAAAAGACGTTACCAACATGAATAAGACTTCGCAAAGTTAGTATATTATGAATATTTATATAAATGTTATGCATTATATTCTCTAACATACATATAAGCACCGAAGATATATATATATATATATACACATGTATATAATGTTATAGGAACTGGGCAAACATTAAAGTTTGTGAGTTTAGTTACTCTCACAGTTCAAAATGCTATGGTTGGCCTTAGCATGCGATATTCACGTACCAGAGCAGGAGACATGTTTCTTTCTTCCACTGGTAAATATTATAAACTACATTACATATAATACAGTCGATCTTAATATTAGTCTTTATATAATATGGAAAATCCTTGTTTTCACAGATAACTATGTCATCTTTTTTTTTAGCTGTTGTGATGGCTGAAGTAGTCAAATTGATTACCTGCCTTATATTAGTATATGTCGAAGAAGGAAATTTTGAGAAATTTTACAAAGCATTACATATGACAATCGTGAAGCAACCTATTGACACTTTGAAAGTTTGCGTGCCATCCCTTCTGTATATTATTCAAAACAATTTACTTTATGTTTCTGCATCTAATTTAGATGCAGCTACGCATCAGGTAAGACATATCATTAATGTTTTGTCTACTTCTAAAAGATGTAGGAGAATAACAATTAATATGAATTAATAAATATTTATTAATATATGAATAACTGGTTGATTTTATATTTACACATGAAAAAGTTGTTAGCTCCACTTGAAATTTTTTTGAGTGAAAAAACTTTTCTCATTCAAGCTGGCATAAGAAATTTCTATTTATTAAAATATCCTTGAATGGTTTTGCAGCTGGAGGAAAGATTTAGTTGATTTTGGGATTGAAGTATCTATAATTTATTTTTTTTTTTCATAAATACAGAAACAATTAATATTAAATTAAACAGAATTTTTATGATTTTGAAGCATTTTTATTATCATTTTAATATTAAAAAGAAGTGATACATTAACAAAACACAATATTTAGACATTTATTGGAAAAAAATTTTTTTTAATATTTATGTCAAATTCAAATAAAAATAAAATATTGACCAAAAGAAATATTAAGAAAAATAAATTTATAAAAAAATAAATAAAAATTAAAAAATGAATAAATCTAGGCTAATTAGATAGTATTTAACTTTTTCTGCAACTTGATCTACTTTTTCTCTTGATTTTGTAGGATTTATAACATTTTTAAAACATTCAATTCGTAACCAAGAAACAAAGGGATTCAGAGATTTTAAAATATCTTACATCTTTTTTTATTTGTGGATATAATTTCTTTTACATATCGGCTCTTTTATATTTGTGTGTGTGTTGTGTGTAGTAAAGTTTATAATATATTTGAAATAAATATATTTTCAGGTCACGTATCAGTTGAAAATTTTGACGACAGCCTTCTTTGCAGTGACGATATTACGTAGATCTTTACACACTACTCAATGGGGTGCTCTTGTACTGTTGGTTATTGGAGTGGTTCTGGTACAATTGGCACAAACTGTAAAAGCACAGTTACCTTCGGGTATTGAACAAAATCACTGGTTGGGTTTTTCTGCCGCTTTAAGCGCGTGTTTTCTCTCCGGCTTTGCCGGAATTTACTTCGAGAAGATTCTCAAGGACTCTGACATTTCCGTATGGATGCGAAACGTGCAATTGAGTGTGTTATCTATACCGTTCGGCCTAAGCACATGTTTTTTACAAGACAGTAGTGCTATACACAAGCAGGGATTCTTCTTTGGTTATGATTTGTTCATTTGCTACCTAGTGGTCCTGCAAGCAGGTGGTGGACTGATTGTAGCTATGGTAGTCAAATACGCCGATAACATATTGAAAGGATTTGCTACGTCTTTAGCTATCATAATTTCTTGTATAGCTTCCGTTTATCTATTCGACTTTCACTTGTCGTTCCAGTTTACTCTGGGTGCATTCCTTGTCATCTGTTCGATTTTTCTTTATAGCCACCAACCGAAAACTGCATCCCTCGATAAACATACATCTGCTGAGAAAGTCTGATAATAGTGAAAATATAAGTTTTTAACGAGGTAGTACTCGACTTGAATCTTAAATTCTTGTAAACAGTTAATATTGAATTGACGATACATGGACTTTTAAATACTTAAAGGTAGAAATAATTAAAATGCAGTAATTAAAATAATTGACGCATTTGGAACAAAAAAGATTATATTTATAGAGATTTAGAAAAAGCTATTTTTGAAAAAAAAATGGTGCAATCAATCGTAAGCTTTTTTGTCTTAAAAAAGGTTGAGAGAATTATCACGTTGTATATGAAAGTCACGAGTGCAATCACGTTTTTATATCCGATTTTTATTTTGAATTACTTATGATAGTCAAAATGAAAAAGTTAGAATGGCGAACAAAACATATATAGAGGTATTAAAACGAAATTATTTACCTATTTGTTATGAACATAATAACACTATATATACTCATATTTATTTTTATATAACTTCCAATTCAATTGAAATGTATTGATATAGGCCAGTAAGTTGTATTCACACTGTGTACTTAATTTAAATAGACTTTAATAAATACAGTTTTTACGAAAATTTTCTTATGTCGTACACAATAATATCGTTTTTTTTTCCAGAAAATAAGCTTCCAACTTTTAAAATATTTGTCAAATCATGAAGTAAAACTATATTTGTATGAAAATTAAATTTAAACATGGTGCAAATTTTACATCATATTCTAAAAAAAAAGTTATATTTCAACTTCTATAATTATTTCATAATATTTCATGATTACATAATTAGATCAAATTTTTTTTAATTAACTCGTCGCAGTTTATCAATTCAGTTACATTAATGTGTTTATGTACATTATTTTTGTATTGATACAAATCAGTTATAATTAACAGTTTCAATTATTGCTTGTTCCAGTTATCTCGCACAAAATTTTAAATTAAAAAATCTTTATATTGCGCGCGCATTTGTAAATTTTATTTTCGCGCGGTTGGCCAACCTACTATCGAGGCTCGGCCGATATTTCATTGGACAGGTTTCTTTTTTTCGAACGTGCTGATGAGTGTCGGGAATACGAATCTCGGGTTTTCGAAAATTCTCTATAGGACAGCCAATCGTCGCGTTCAATGGATGTGTCGTAGATACGATACGATGAGATATCACTGATATCAGTGCTTATGGAGCATTTGCGTGAGTGAGACATCAAAATTTTTCATCTCTGCTGATCTCTACGCATACGCATAAATACCTACGGCGACCATGAGCGAGCCTCAGTCAAAGAAAACGAAGACCATGAGTTCGTTAAATCAGCTGAAAGACTTTACTACGATTGTCGCCGATACCGGCGATTTTCAAGGTAATAAATTCGAATTCGATTAGTAATGAGGACTGATACTTGTAATTTGTAATACGTCAGCGTGAAGGTAACGGGAGGAGGGAGATCTTGCAACACTTGCACTTTTTTCGAATGCGTCCCACGTGACCTCTTTGAATTTTAATAAGTCTGTTCTCTGTTTTTGCTCTACAACTTTTTTTTTGCCAAATATCAAACATGTATTTATTCCATTTAAAATTTTAAAGGGTACGTACACTAGTTATGATTATGTACTTTAAGATATATTATCATGGTTATCTTAAAATCTCTGTGTTTTATTATACGATTTGTAATTTTTTTTGTTCCTGTTGTCTAATTTGAGTATTAGTTGTTATCTTGGTTGTTATCACTACTACTAAATATTAAAACTTGCGCCACTTTTAAGATATATATAGGAGTAAGACGTATAGAGGGGTAAAACACTTGAATATCTCGAAAAGAAATTATTAATTTGAAAAAAATTATATTGTCTTAAGAGAGATAAGTAACGATGAAATCGAAGAAAAAAATTGAGAAAATTAATTTTTCAAAATCATTTTTTAAAATAGAATTGTATGATTTTTTTTATTACAGATTATGATTTGTATCAATGATATGATTTTTACCAGAAAAATACTTTTGGAACTTAAGTGGAATAGATATATGTTTGATATTTGATGAAAAAGAAGGTTGCAGAGCAAGAATAAAAAATATCTCATAAAATATTAATATTTTTTTATACTTTAATACTTTTATATGAAGAATAATTTAAAAAAATTAAATTACCTAAAAGAAAAATTACATTCTATTTAAAAAAACGGCGATGACTTTTATGTGACCTTGAAGAATCGTTTTTTTTTTCGACAATTGATTTTATCATTACTTTTAAACTATATAACTTTTAGAACATTTTTTTCTAAAGTTCCTTTTTAAAATATTGATTGAATGATGAGATTAGATATGAACGAAAAATGCTATATTCGATGAAGGAAATTTTTCACGCCTTATATGTACATTAACGTTATATAAGATATTCAAGTATTTGTGTGTGTGTGTGTGTGTGTGTGTGTGTGTGTAAAATATTCAAGTATTTCAATTTGAATGCCTTATTCTATATATGCACATTTTATCAATGTGATTTTGTTTAAAAGAAACTCGTTAATAATACATGCGTCTATATATGGATGCGTTAGCTGAATTATCTGAAAATTAAGAAAATTTTTCTTACGTCTAATCACCACGGCTTTTGATGATAAAGTGATGTTACAATAATTTTATTAATATACATTCTTGACTTATCTAAATACACGAGTTTATTTTATTTCTTTTATATTTGAAATTTTTATCGTAACTTTCCATGGATCTTCTGAAAAATTAAACGATGTTGACTAGATCTGTATCCTATTGATAAAATGATATCAGTGTATACGCGAAATATATACCATGACCTTTGCTTGTTGTATGTTGAACAGTAACCTTTAAAGAGTGAAGTGTTTATCACTCATGATAGATACATTGAACAGGAACAACATTTCAACAAATTATTAATAAATAAGTAATAAACGGATATTTTTAATATGTGTGAATATAAAACGATGGAAACAAAATGAAAATAATTATAAATATTGCAAACGATAAACATTAATATTATTAATATTATATTTTAATAATATTATATTATACTCTCACGATAGCTATGGAGCAATTTAAGCCTACAGATGCAACGACAAATCCCTCGTTGATTCTCGCTGCCGCTAATCAAAAGAAATACGCTCATTTAATTGAAAAAGCAGCGGCATATGGCAAAAAATCTGGATCGTAAGTATATATATTTATTATGTTATGATTAACTTATCGTTAAGCTATCAACTTTCGTGCAATGTTATTCAAGCATATTTAAATAGACTTAATATATTGATAATATATTATCAAGGTGCATGATACTTTAAGGATACTCGCGAATTGAAAATAGTCAGAATGAAATTTTTCTTGAAATTTTTTGAAACTCAACATTATACTAAAAGACATTAATACGCTTGTACAATTACATTGATTATTTCAATACTGAGATATCAACAATTTAAAAAATATGCATTTTTTATATGTGTCACCTATACAAAGTTTGAAAATGTCGCGTTTATTTTTTAAATGAAGGACTTAAATAGCAGTGATATGTTGATATGTTAAAAAAACAAGCATGCGATGGAGAAACATGAAAATCATATTTTTTCCGTTTAATTTGGAAAATGGAGAGCTGTGAAAAGAATACAGTTTTGAAATATTTGTCAATTCGTCATGTGAATCGAAGGAAGATTGTAATAAGCTGCGTTAATTTATACATACATTTTTTCCGCGTGTGCATAATACGGCCATAGAGACAGCTGCAACCAAATATTTTCTTTCACTGTCGGAAGTAAGAGTATCGCTACCGAGCATGCGATGGGATCCAACTTTTGAATGTTAACGTGGAAATTTTCTTTTCCAGTACTTTGACTGAGCAAGTTGAAGCAGCTCTTGATATCATATGTGTTTTATTTGGCAAAGAGATTTTAAATATAATTCCTGGAAGAGTTTCCACAGAAGTAGACGCCAGATTGTCCTTCAATAAGGAAGCCAGTATCGAAAAAGCAAAAAGATTAATCGCTCTGTATGAAGGGCTTGGAGTGAGCAAAGAACGCATCTTAATTAAGCTTGCATCGACTTGGGAAGGCATCCAAGCGGCAAAGTAGATAAGACACTAAATTTAAAAAAAATTACCTTATATTTGATTAATAAACATTCTATTAATAATTGGTAACCTTTTTTTTAGAGAATTGGAAGAAAAGTATGGAATCCATTGCAATCTGACATTGCTGTTCTCTTTTGCCCAAGCCGTTGCTTGCGCAGAGGCTGGAGTTACTCTTATTTCGCCATTTGTTGGTCGAATCTTGGACTGGTAAGTGTTCTAATCTCATTTGTTTATACATTTGTGCAAGAGTAAAACAATATAATTGTTTAGGTACGTGGCAAATACAGATAAAAAATCTTATGAAGCAAAAGAGGATCCAGGCGTTATTTCTGTAACACAAATTTACAATTATTATAAGAAATTCGGTTATAAAACGGTTGTAATGGGTGCCTCATTTAGGAATGTTGGTAAATATTTTCACTCATATTTACGTAATTATAAATTATTGATACATACATATTTATACATACATTTATATATTATATTATTTACTATTTTAACTTAAACATTCTGATAATAAACTCGTTTCCAATCATATTAAACATTCTGATAATTAGGTGAAATTAAAGAACTCGCCGGCTGTGATTTTCTTACCATAAGTCCTAACTTATTGGAAGAATTGGAAAAGACCAACGAGGCCGTACACAAAGTTTTGAGTGTGGAATCAGCGAAGAAGTGCGATATTCAAAAGATTAGCTTAGATGAAGCTGAGTTTAGATGGCTTTTAAATGAAGATCAAATGGCAACCGATAAGTTGTGCGAAGGCATTCGCAAATTTACCGTTGATGTGCGTAAGCTTGAGAAATTATTACAAGAAAAAATTCTGTCCATTAAATCAATAGAATAAAGATAATAACAGACCTCGATGATGTATTTACATATGTAAAATGACATAATAATTTACAAGGAAATAATATCGAATATACAGACATTCCTGTTATTCACATATTTATAAAATATATAATTATTTTTTAATAATTAACTTGTGTATAAAAAATGTAAAAAAAGAATGAACTCGAAGGAACAAAAATTATATATTTTTAGAAGTGCAAGATTTGTATTGTAGAATGCAAATATAAATGTAAAATAAATATAAAAGAAAAATAGGAGAAAAACATTTATCAAATATGCGATCCAAATTCAATTATATATATATATAATATATGTACACACACAAAATGTATATCCCTCTACAGATATTCTTTATATTCATGGACTTATTTTTCATTATTTAAAATGTATTTACTAGCAAAAATACATATATTAATGTAATATTCATATATATGATTTAGTGTGCAAATCCAGTGTCGTTAAACAACGTAGAGATTTTTTCCTATGCATAAAAATTTCCCTATCCATAAAAAAGATGTGTAGAAATTTAAATTCAAAAAGGCACAAATCGAGTTTTTTAAGCTCATTGTATTTCATAAATTCCAAAATTTGTATTATGGGACGTTTACGATACAGTCATTAATACTACAACACTACTGCGATGAATCGATCAGAAAAGAAAGATTTTTGTCGTAACAATGAGCTTAAAAAACTGACTGTCGCGGTCATCCGCTGATCAGAGTCGAATAGACAGAATTGCAGCGGTCGAGGATCCCCTAATTTCTTTTTCGTACTTGTGGATCGTTTAAAACGTTGAAAAATTATTTACTAAACTCTAAACATAAAATGGTTGAATAAACAGACTGCATTATTATATCTTAAATTATATTTTAATTTTTTTATAAAGAATTTAAGAAGCAGAATATTTGATGGCATCAATCTATGCTATAAAGTATAAAAAATTATTTCGGTTGGCATATCGCCTTACCATTTTTGCGCTATTACTTTACTATCTAATCATCAGAAACAAAATATATACGCGACAGAATCAGAGCTATATAAAATATAGGAATTACAAATCACTATTTGTATTTGAATATCGCGCTACTATTTAGGATCAAAATTTGATTGGCTAGCTGGTTTGGGTCTGAATTGCCGTTATGCGCGTTGTCTCACCTATTTTCTTCCATCATAGTTCCACATGGTTCATTCTCTGTCAACAGTTTTTATTAATTTGTTTTTTAGTAACTAAAATTGTTGCCTAAAAGATATCTGTATTAAATATTCTTATAAAGCTATCAGGTAAATAATTTTATTCTTTAAATTCATTTTTCTTTTTTTCAGTACTTTTAGTATAATTTTATAATGAAGGTAATATAATTCTCATTTAACCTTAAAAATTAATGTAACTTGTGTTTTTCTTACTAATGTAGATTAACTTTAATCTAAGTTTTATTTATCCTTTTCTAATTCTTAGAACTAGAAAAAGATAAGTTAAACTAAGATTAAAATTAATCTATATCGGTAAAAACGGGCATTAGCCTATATCCTTTTTGATTGAACTTTTTGCATGTTTCATTTTTCTTCTTTTTTTTCTTTATATAAGAGAAGAGAAAAGATGAACAGCAAGAAGTTCAGTTAAAAAGAAGAGATTTTTATGTCGTGCAACTTGGAAGGACAGATTGAATGTACGTTAAGTTCATCTGGTGACAACTAGCAAAGAAAATAATCTTTGTGAAAGCATTATTTTTTCATCTTTGTGGTTTTTACATCAGTTTGCCAATTTATTAAAACGTATTTATGACGTATTATGTATATTACAAAGAAGCAACATAATAATATACATATATTAAATTTTATACAAATTATATATATATGTGTGAAATTTGTTCCTTTTAGCTATATCCTGATAAGGATACAATATTGTTTTAGAATGTTATATGAATATTATTAACAATTAAAATAATATAATATTCCAAGAATATTAGTTAATATTTTTAATATTATGAATGTATTCATATATCTATTTTATATATATATCTATATCCTATATTCGTAGTCAGGCCTTATTTAAAGCTTTTTAAATTTATCTTTAGATGCTCAGTAGCCAATAAAATAATTCATAGATTATCTGAAGATAAATTAAAGGAAGCATTGGATATGAGATGTAACTGTGAATACAAGCCTTAATATTCTTGATATTATTCCTTTAATAACGATGAAATATTATTAAAATAATTATTAATATTAATTATTATTATACAGTACCTCAATGTGAATTTACAAGAATCTGTTCCTTCACTTTTGTCCCATCAATTGACGAAATCGCAATGTGAAAAATTTCAGATTTTCGACTAACTTTTTTATAGTATTGTTATAAGAATGAAATATTTTTTATTTGATTATTGTTTATCTGTTTTTATCTTACTAAATTGTGAGATATCAACTTCGCACGTGATAAACTAAAAAATATGCTTTCTGTTCAGAGGTGTAGCTTGATGAAGTTATACAGATCTCGGTGAAGTTTGATGGGGAAACTAAAAATAGGTGTAACAAGCTAGGGTTAAAAGAATGACAAATATTCAAATGAATGACAGTCGATTTAGATGTATAATATCATTGTCTTCATTTCTAAGAGATTGATTGAAAAGTTCTGTCACTTGTGTGTAAAATTTTGCCTCATCTTCGCGTTATTAAAAGGAATTCTTCTCATTAGCATTCTAATATTCGCTTCTAACACATGTGCGCACATACACATGACTTATAAATTAAACCGAGTAATCTTCACGCGATACACCTTAGATAATGCTAATACTGGCGGTATTATAACTTTCAAGTCTCACTCGAAAATACTGATTAAAAGAGACATTATTATTGTGTGTTTTGAAAAGCTCTTGACATCAGCTATTAGATTTTGAAATAGAAATAGGGTGTTTCATAAACAAAAAATCAATTTGACTTTGACTTGATGGTGCCATTTAAGGTCAAATTACTAAAATCAGTACATCAGATTATTTTAAACTCTACAATTTTTGTATGATCCTACATTTTTCTCAGAAATGCTCACTTTAGAAACGCTTACTTTAGAAATACTTTAGATTCTTTAGAAGACAAAAAAGTGCAAAATCAATGAGTCATTACGTTGACCAAATTAATGTTTGTCTGCAATATAAACTGTCCAATGTCCAACAAGATGCAATGCGTGCATTGCTGTAATAGACTAACATTTTGAATAATATTTGCGTTAAGCAAGCGATAACGTGAATAAATAAGTATGAATGAATAAATATAATAATAAATAAAGTACAAAAATGAAAACTACGTTTTGCCTTTTTTTTGCGATTTTCTTCAAAACGAAGCAAAAACAAGCATATCTCTAAAGGACTTTTTTCTTAGTTTATTGATTCTCTACATGCACCCGAAATTTAGCCATTTAAATTCGGAATCATCCTGTTGTGTATAGATATATTATTACTATTTCTATATATTCAACATTATTAAATATAAAATTGAGATCTTTATGAGATTTTACTACGGTTAGTTGTTTGTATTGTTCTGCAGTGTATGATCCTGTATATGGCAATTGGCAGATTCTTCAGTGTTGTACGGCAATCTTGCTGCTTGAAAAACCAGTACAGCTTTTATACAACTACTATGACTTCCTTGCTGGTTCCTCCAGCGTCTGTCCGTGGGATGATGTGCTTGGATCGTGATGCATTTACAAGAGTTGTGACTGTATCTACGTTAAAGTTACGTGATATTTCTGTCTCAAAAAATATACGTGTATTAAAGAAATATTTGTTAAAGATGTGTAATTTTAAATCAGTTGAAAAGATAAATGATGGAGCTATTATTTATCTAAATCCTGATATTGTCACGAAATTTGAAGATATTACTGAGGATGATAGAAAACTACTAGTAGATCAATATGAATATTTTAGTACAATGGACATTACACTAAAGTATGATAATTGGCGTCGTGATGTGATATTAAAATCAATTCTCCCAGAAGATATTGAAGTTCCTACAGCGTACAGTTTAGTAGGACATATTGTACAGTTGAATTTACGTGATGTACATTTGCCATACAAATCTATTATTGGTCAGATATTTCTCGATAAGACTGCGAATGCACGAACAGTAGTAAATAAAATAGATACAATTAATACATCGTTTCGATATTTTGCTATGGAAATCCTAGCAGGTGAAAGAAATACAATAACATCTGCAAAAGAACATGGTTGTACATATCAGTTTGACTTTGCGCAAGTGTACTGGAATCCACGTTTATCTACTGAACATTCACGAATTATAACATTTATGACCGAAGGTGATATTCTATATGATGTATTTGCAGGAGTAGGACCCTTTGCAATTCCTGCCGCACGTAAAAAAGTCCAAGTATTTGCTAATGACTTAAATCCTGAATCTTACAAATGGCTTCAAAAAAACGCTCTTATTAACAAGGTAAAAGATAATTTTAAAGCTTTTAACATGGATGGTAGAAATTTTTTGAGAGAAGTTGTTAAAGATAATATTTTGACGAGACGGGCTCAAAATTTACCTGGTTCTGAACATATAATAATGAATTTACCTGCATCAGCTATTGAATTTTTGGACATACTTCCTGATTGGTTTACACAAGAAGAATTTAAAAATGTATGTCTTAAGCCACCTATATTTCATGTATACTGTTTTGTGAAAGTAGATAAAGGAGATGATGTTTGCATGTTTGGAAGGTTATTGGTTGAGGAAAAACTTGGTTATACATTATCTGCTGAATCTATTGTTAGTATACATAATATCAGGGATGTTTCACCAAATAAACAAATGATTCGGGTATCATTTTTACTGAAAACACTTACAGGCGAGGAGCCAGCAACGAAGAAATTTAAGATTAGTTAAATAATTTAAAATTAGTGTGATTAATTATTTATAATAGTTTGTTTATAAAGAATGATGTAACAAAATACAGAAAAAAATGGGGAAGAACAAGATTCATAAAAATAAAAATGTTTCAAAGTCGCAACAATTCGTAGTATTAAGTTAAAGGTTAAAGCACTAAAAGTGATTACTAATTTAAAGAAAATAAGTGATGAGTATTTACAAATTTTAAATCGATATATGAGATATCATGAGATTGCACTTTATATATTGTTGGTCATATTTGTCGAACGATTTCCCGTCTTTAATTTATTGAACAATCTGAAATTATCAAGCGTAAAATAAAAAAGTCTCAATACTTATTATGTTTTTTATTTAAATATTATAAAACACTTAAAAATTTATATGTCCATAAAGAGATCCGGATAAATACAATAGTAAGCATTAATAATTTTGATTAAATATAGTTGTTTTTGAAAAATTATTTTTAACTTTAAAAAATTATTTTACGAAGAAAAATAAAATATTAAATAAAAATAAAACATTCGGCTGGAGCTATGGATTAGCTATTAAGGAAATTAGAAAATTTGCAAGCATCTAACTCCATAGCTTGATACAAAATAAATTTATTAGAAATCGATCAAAACAAATAAAGAAATTTTTATGCCTAAAATAATGTTAGCACAAACGGATGTAATGACCTCAATGATGGAGCGAATATAACTTGATACTAAGAAAAAAGAAAATAGATAGATTTAATGTATCTTTTACAAATTATACTGTATGCATTTTTAATTTCAAATGTTAATTCCTTGTCAATATGATATTACACATACATTCTTTATTATAATTTTTATAATAAATATTACAAAAAATATATATATAGTTTTTATTATTTAGCTTTCTTATACCTTTTTCTAGATTATCCAGTATATCCAATATTTACGTGCTATTGTTTTATTGAAGTTTTATAAAGTATTAGATATAAATAAAGCAGATAAATATCATAAGTATACGTATATCATAAGTATACGTCATGTGTAATAAAGAAATAATAATAAATTGCATGTTAGTTAATGTATAGAAAAAACTAATTATTTTTTAGTATATTTCTTTTCATTTTAGAACAATATGTCGCAACAAATACGTCATTTTTATACAGCAAGTTTGATAGTTGTAGGAGATGAAATTTTACGTGGACAAATAATTGATACCAATACATCATATCTGGCACAAAATTTAACTGCTGCTGGAATAAAACTACAGAAAGTTATAATGGTCTCTGATATCGTACGTATTATTTACGATTAGTACGTATTACTTACGATTAGTACGTATTATTTACGTAAAAGATTGTGTCATATTTAAATCTTTTATTAGGTGGATGATATTGCTAAAGAAATACGCAATACATCAAAGGAGTATTCTGTTGTATTTACATCTGGTGGTGTTGGACCTACTCATGATGATGTAACTTATGAGGCTGTAGCAAAGGCTTTTGAACTAAAACTTGAATTAAATCAGAAATTATTTGATATATACACTCGAATGATTCCTAATCAGGCCGAAATAAAACGACTTGCTATTGTTCCCAATGCATGCAAGATTATCAACATTGATTCAGGTACACATATTTTCTTTCAAAACTTACATTTTAATTTCTTCGCTCTCAGCGCACATATGTTGTCATTGTCATGACCTTAAGTCATTTTTCCTTGATAGGTCTCAGTCTCTTATATTAATTTTAAAGATATTAAGAGTTAAAGTGTAATTTTAGTAGTAAATTTTCATCTTGGAGACTATACTCCGATTGACTTCAACTTCGATGTTGTTAAAGTCATGATCCTGAATGAGTTTTAGTTGGCAGTCACTCTTTATTAATCTTCACTCACCAGACTTTTTTTTTGCTCACGCAGATGCCAATCGTGAGATACTATCAGATATTTTAGTATACAATTATGGAGTAAATATTATTAATTTTTGTCAAAAATAATTTTCTTTGATAATTTTGAATAATATGGAACGTGCCATTAAAAGTTAAATTTTATTAATTACAATATAAAATAATTGTTTAAAGAAAACATGTTCTCACGATTTAATGAAATGCTTTATAAAAATATTTTATAAAAAATATTTGTATCTTAATCTATATTTTTTATTTTTTATTTTATTTCTATATACTGTAAAGCTTCCATAATAATGTTTTACAGAGGAAATAATGGTAAACATGAAGGAAGTCTCGATGATTTTGACTTTAACGTATGTTATAATGACTCTAAGTGACTTCCAACAGGTTTTAACCGTCTCTCGTTATTCGTTAAGGTTTAAGAGGATCCTAAAGTTGTCTCACTTTACCATCAATTCCATTCAGCGATAATTCTTTGAATTGGATTTACGGATTGCAAAATTATTTCTATAGAATTAAAGTACACGCAAATTAAAAACATTCGAAATATTTGATTTCACGAGAAAATCGAAAAAAAAATTCATTTACTTTTGGTTTGTACAGTTGTTACTTGAAATTAATATTGGCTTGATATAAGAGTGTTATAATTCATGAATGAAAACGACAAAATTTATAATGCATGATGAAAAATTTATATTCATTTTTTTTTATCTTAATGTATAATATTAACATATGATATTATATTTTCAGAGGCTTTTCCAATAATAAATATAAAAAATGTTTACGTGTTACCTGGTTCCCCAAAGTACTTTAAGCCTGCTGCAGATACAATAATTTCTCGTTTGAAAGGAAGCACGCCATTTCACTTTGAACATATAGATATTGCATTGAATGAACTATCAATAGTAAACATTTTAGATAAACAAGCAAAACGATGGGATGGTAAAATAAAAATTGGTAGTTATCCTCAATATGAATTGCAAACATCTTTTACGAGAATCACTTTAGAAGGACCTGAAGAAACAATTGCAGAAGCAAAAGAGGAACTTTTGTACCATTTACCAATACAAAAAATTATAAATTTGAAACATAAATACAGCAATTTTCAAATGAATATTGTACTAGAAAACAGTAAAAGTGAAAAGCATATTAAAAGTGCATTAGACATATTGAATGATTGTTATGAAAGGTGCGTTTGTAACATGTTACATATTATTGCATTAGGATATTACAAATAAGCAGAGAAGCGTGGTCGTGGCTGAATCTTAGTGCTAGTGTGTCTAATTTATATGTGAATTTTTAATCCTTAGTTAGCACACGTAATTTTACTTCCATAGTCCTGAACAGGAGTATCCCCTTAATCAAGTGTCTAATTTTTTTAATTTTAAAATGCATTGATTAATTGTAAATGTTTAAAACTTTTTTGGAAGGATTTAAGGAAGAGCCTCATATAAATTGCCGCTATTAATAATCTATTATATCTGTTCTTTATAGATATAAACAAAATGAAATTTTCATTAGTTTCAATGGTGGTAAGGATTGCACAGTAGTTTTGCATTTAGCTGCTACCGTCGCTAAATTGCGTAATATTTCATCTTTACTGTGCTTATATGTAACAGACGATTCTTTTCCGGAGGTAAGAGTCCTAACCATTAAATAGATAATAAAAGATGTAACGAGAATATATTTTTTTTCACACAAGAACACGCACTATTTCTGTTATTGAATTGAGCTCTGAATTAATTCTGGATTAAAGCGATTGAATTCGATTCATTAAAAAGTCTGTACTAAATGAATCGATCTGTTGGAAATCGATTCAAATAATATTTTTTTAGTATGATAGTATTATATAAATTTATCAAAAAACAAACAATTGAACAATTAAAATACCATTCTAATTTTCCTTCAAGTTAAATAATTTTAATTTAAAAATCTAGATACACACTCACACATACAAAATAACATCCATTATTAACTACTGACTAAAATGTACATAAACACTATTAAATTCGGTTTCATAACAATTGGTATTACATCATAAAAATCAGAAATTTAACTAGCATTTATACAATTTATCCAGTAATTAGTTAATAATATAGATAATAATGAAATCCAATTAACGGTGATGTGTGAACGTAATCCGCTGTTATGCCATTAAAAAATTACAACTGCTAACTAGACAGGGTTGTCTACTGATAAAATATAACTGACTAAATATAATCAAGTCACTTATGATAAATATAATCAAGTTACTTTTACCAAAATTAAAAATATAACTGACAGATTGATTTTTTTCATCTATGTTATTAAGTACTTTTTCAACTATTTTTTAATTTGTAAAATAGTAGATATATCATTTATCCTATAAATCATGAATCCTTTTTCAAATAGAATATCTGTTGATATTGATATTCTGTACATGTAGGTAGAAGCATTTGTGGAGTCAGCTGCTCGATATTATGGTTTGGAGATAATACGGGTACAACGACCGATCAAATCCGCATTATCTGCATTACTGGAAGAAAAACATTATTTGAAAGCAGCTGTTATGGGTACGAGAAAAGGTGATCCAGGTTCCGAAAATTTACAAGCATTTACACCCACTGATCCGAACTGGCCACAATTGATACGTGTAAATCCCATTTTACATTGGTCCTACAGTCAAGTATGGACATTTCTATTAAAGCACAATATTCCTTATTGCTCGCTTTACGATCAAGGATACACGAGTATTGGCAATAGAAATACTACGATACAAAATCCGTTATTAAAGGATCCTAATAATCCTTCGCTTTATTTACCAGCTTATACTTTGACCGATAAATCTGCCGAGAGAGATGGCAGAGAAAAATAATATTTGATTTTTTTAGAATTTAATATAATCCATGATCACACACACACATACACACACACACACGCACGCACGCACGCACGCAAATGAATTAATATTGTGTATACTTAGTATATTAATAATTAGTATTATTACACATTACCGTTAACATTAATTATTTCCCTCATTCTTTATAATATATGTATTGTTTTTAATACAAATAGCATCTTGTTACGTATTAATACGAAAGTTGTTAATATATAAATTTAATTATGCACATAAATTATTTAAATACTTATATTTAAGCAGTTTTGCAAAATAAATTAATTTTTATAAAGACCTTTGCATATTCTTTTACTTGAAGAATTTGACCTCAAAAACTATTCGATCACAATCAACGTTCTAATATGGATTCCACTACTGATAAATATATAGTTTGATAGTTAACTGACGTAACATAGTAGCATACATACAATGCCTATCAGCAAATTGAGGATTATCTTCGATTAATCTTCTTCGGAAGCCATTTAAGCTTGGATTTGAATGGATTTAGATTCCACACACACACACAAATTTGAGTTACCGCGATACATATAAAGATTCAACGTTATAGAGAAGTGAAGTGGAGTCTGAAATTAGTAAATCGACATGGTGAACGAAAGTGTTCATTGGGAGGCAAGAGTTCTATCAGCAGAACCAATACGATTGCTAGGATGGAACGTCCCTACTGAGGAACTGATTCATATACCAGAACATTGGCTGATCTATCCTGAACCCAATCCTTCTCTTCACTATTTACTAGCCATTCTATACATAATTTTCACCTTTGTAGCGTTACTCGGAAATGGACTTGTTATCTGGATATTTTGCTCGTAAGTTATTACACATACAGTAATTGAACATTGAGCAGTTAAATATTGCTTAACTTACATAATAATGCTGTGCAATATAATTTAATTTTTAATAAGCATTATTTTTTGGAATTAATAAAATTTAGCTTTTTATTTATTCAATTATGAGTTTTCTTTAGTAGATACATGTTAGTTTATTAATTCTTACGTCATAATTTAAAATGTGCCAAAATTTAGCATGTCATTATATGTACTAAGTGTTATTTATGTTTCAAAATCTTCTTTTCTTTGTAGAGCCAAATCGTTAAGAACATCTTCAAATTTGTTTGTGGTGAATTTGGCATTTTGCGATTTCTTCATGATGCTCAAGGCACCGATATTTATATATAATTCCTTTAATACCGGATTTGCTACTGGTCATTTAGGATGTCAAATCTTTGCCTTTATGGGTTCGCTTAGTGGAATTGGAGCTGGTATGACAAATGCTGCTATAGCGTATGACAGATACAGGTATAAATATCAAGTAAATGTACAAAGTTTATTAATATATATATATGACAACTACGTTTTTTACGTAATTGAAAAGTATAAATTCAAAGATTGAATTCTAAATTGTTTAAACAGTAAAAAATTTTAAACAGGATTTTAAATTATTCAGATTATGTTTGAGCATAAAAATTTGAAAGTTATTAATATTCATTTATTAGTGATGATTTATTAATGATTTAAGACTTTTGTTCGGAACATAGAAAACATACTTCAATTTCAACTAATTTAATCGGGGATACATTTCCAAAATATCTATGCGGGGTCCTTTCTTCATATTCTTGCATATCCTCCATTTTAAAACAAAACATTTAATAATTATATTTTGATTATTGTAAAGCAATAAAGTTATTGAACTTCGACTATTTCGACATTGTTAATTTCTATAGTTCTGTAATTTAAGAAGTCGATATTTTTTTAAATGAAGCGTTTGCAAAGAAAATTTCCAAATGAAAATTGTTTATATTGAGATTATAAATTCACACTTTAAATTTGGTGGTTTAACTTGGAAATATCTTATATGACTTGCTAATGATATAATTTTAATGATATAATTATATGTATACGTTACAATGTTATAAAATTAGTGTTATAGCTCGACCACTTGATGGGAAACTATCTCGCGGTCAAGTGATACTCTTTATTGTACTTATCTGGGCGTACACAATTCCATGGGCCTTGATGCCAATAATGCATGTCTGGGGTCGATTTGTGCCTGAAGGTTTCTTGACAAGCTGCACTTTCGATTATTTGACAGATAGTCCAGAAATAAAATATTTTGTGGCCACGATATTTACCTTCTCTTATTGTATACCAATGTTACTCATCATATATTATTATAGTCACATTGTCAGCCACGTTATTGATCACGAGAAAGCTCTTCGTGAACAAGCAAAGAAGATGAATGTCGAAAGTTTGAGAAGCAATGTCGGTGCAAATACTCAAACTATGGAAATACGTATAGCTAAGGTATTCTTCATATATACAAATTTTCCCTCCTTTTGTTACACATAGAAGAATACAAATACAATACAGAAATAAATTTACATACATACAAATTACACACATAATAATTATTTAGGAATTGTTCTCATTCTGCATATAAAAGTACTAATATAAGAGTACGTAAAAATAGTATCAAAAAATCAAATTTTTACGATATAAATAAATTGAAATACCTTATCAAATCTTGTTAGTGTTTTGAAAAACTTTCGAGATGAGCTACAAGAATATGAAATGAAAAATGAGCGTTTCAATTTAAAAAAATGTATTTGATCTTGGCCTGACTTTGCCACCCAAGATCAAACTGATAAAATCAGTAAATACATCTTTTTAAACCCTATAACTTTTGTCTAATCTTATAATTAATCGAGATCGAAACAGAAATATTCCGACAGCGACTTCTCCCGTTATAGATATATTCTCTATTTTGCTCAAACAATAGCTCAAAGCTATTATTTCATAAAATTGAATTTTTTCTCTACTTCACCATTTTCTGTATCTGTTATGTAAACATTAAAATAAGAAAATAAATAAGTGATACAAGAGCGAGCAACACATCGACTTATCAATTATTGTTTTATATATATTCATCATATACATTAAATCACGTGTGTTTTAAAGAATTTATGACATGCGTCAACTTTTTTTATAGGCTGCAATAACAGTATGCTTCCTCTTTGTTCTCTCGTGGACTCCATACGGAGTTCTCGCGATGATCGGTGCTTTTGGAGATAAGACATTATTAACTCCTGGTATCACAATGATACCGGCATGCACATGTAAATTTGTGGCCTGTTTGGATCCATATGTATATGCCATAAGTCACCCAAGATACAGGTAGAGACAAAAATAAAAAATTCTGTTTTTATTCCTTTTTTATTTAAAATTACATACCATAAGATAATTATTCGATCTATTATTGCAGCTTACGATTATAATGTCAGATGGTAAAAGATCCTTTTACATATCTTATGAGGAATTAATTTCTAGTGGAATTCGTTTAAACACCTCTCAAAATAGCCTATCACATCCTTATCCACCTACATATATATCTCCCCCCCCCCCACCGTCACTTTAAACATCTTATTACACCTCAGAATTCGATCAGTGTACTCTTACACATCCATGAACATTATCACTTACCCTCGCTGCACTTCATCACTAATCCTTACTCTAAACATCTATGAAATGTTCTCTTTTATTGAGTGTAACTAAGAGATATTTCAACATTACTCATTTTTATATTTTGATAACTTAAGGAATCACAATATGTTTCAAACTAAGCGTGCAAACAAACTTCCAGAGGAAAATTTTGTTTGAGGAGGGATTTTTTAAGAAATTATTCAAATTTTAAGCTTGAGGATTTAATTATCCGGGAACACCCCTGATAATAAATTCATATTTATTTAATTTCTCTGTTTTGAATTTACAGCTGCATTAATAGATCCATTTTTGGTAAATATTTGGTAATAAAGATTACCCTCCATTGACATGTTATCAAGGTCATGACTAAGAGGAACTTGCGGACTCTGATGATTTTAGCCAGCGCTCCATTAAAAAATTACTGACAAAAAAATATTCATCATTAAAACGTAACTTTTTGAATACGATTCTTTTCCGATGAAAAAATTCTCTATTCTAAAAACACTTTCTCTACTTCGAAGCATAAATTTTCTGTTTTAAAAACACAAATCCGCTCTTTCAACTCGAGAGGCGACTTTGAGCCACCACTAAGTTTTATATGGCAACTCGAGTGGCGAGGGAAATATATATATATATATATCTGTGTCAAGTCAAGGTCATTGGAGGATGGTCCCTAATGTTTCTATTACTAAATATTTACCCAATTTTTTAATATTGTTAAAATTAATTCAGAATAATCACTTCATGAATATTATTTTGCAACAGACTAGAACTGCAAAAACGATTACCATGGTTAGAATTGCAAGAAAAATCTGTGGACACGCAGGGTTCTACATCCGAAGTAGTGAATATGCCATCATCTTAAATCTTGTTTAATTTTATCTTAAACAGTAACTATTTAATTATGAATGATCAATTGCTATAGTCATCATTAAGATTATGTTCTTTATTACTGCAGTAATAAAATGATTGCGTAGTCTATATCAATGTAGTTACAAGTAATTGTAAATATATAAATGTGAATAATGTAAGCTCTTAATAAATACAATATTGTTCAATCTTCCTATTCTTTGTTACGATCATGTTTATTGCTAATGTGTGATACTTCTTATCTGTTACATAAAAGACAATATTGACATCAGGCGTGTAATTGTATTCTTTTTAAATCTTTTGCTTTTATAACATTTTTTTTTATAGGTTTATAACTTTACGTCAGTATTGATATTAAATCTCTTATAAAAATCATAAAACGATACTCTGGTATGTAAAGAAAACAAAATAAAATGTCTTTATATTTTTTACATGGGTACGTTGTAACTTGTGTACACATGTTCCGTCACTGCAGATTAGATTTAGATTTAGATTAGATTAGGATTAGAGACGCGTTAAGGTTAGACACAGATACAATATATATTTTTCTGTTACAGATTTTACTGAAATTACTAACTTGCATAGAAAAGTTGGCTCAGGTCGGCTCGTGTCGCGATTCATGTTGATCATGATAGAATCAATCATCGATTGGCCTAGTTTACGTGCACTTTTCAAACGGGTATGAACTTTTAATATTCTATTGAGTTATTTTAATTTCAACAATACGTGATAATATATGGATATATTAGTTTATATGACTTGATTTACCCCGAAGTTATAATATCGATGTTATAAAACTGGCCAATCGATAGTAAATTTTGAACACGGCCATGGAAGTAGAAGCGCGATGGAACGTACATGGATGCTGCCTTTAACTATATAACTATGCTAGTTGGCTTTCTCACGCCGTACTCTCTTTGTACGTAAGAGACTCTCGCGTCTCTTTGTCTATCTTACGGAAAAGATAGAAAGAATGGGGGTAATTAGCAGTCCATAATTATATAGTGAAAGGGTGCTATACACACTAGTATTGTGTATATTGTATATGTATGTACGTACATGCACGCATGCATGCACATTTGCGGAAGTTGAGTTATAAATGGCGGAACCAATCAGAGAAGAGGAACGCTATCCGCTCCACTCTCTCTTGATTGGCTGCGTTTGGCAGAAAAAACGAATCAGTTTGCGCTTAGTAATTCGCAGCACAGACGTTATGAACTCTTGCATAACGTATAATGCATAGTGCATAAGGTAATTTAGTTGATTTGCTTATGCACTATGTGTATGACTTATGCAAAAGTCTGTGCTGCGACCTTAACAGTGTCAATGTCGTGTTCAGTCATTAGTTCGCCAAGATTAGCAGTATTAGTACAATTGTATAAGAATCGAAGTACAAAGCATACCAAAGTGATGAAAATAATAATGTAATAAATGATGTACATACAATTAATCACTACATGATATCAAAATCAAACACAGGTCTGTCTTTAAGAGTGCTATACAAATATATCAGGATACACAGTAATATTTCGCGCCAATAGAATTGATCGGTACGCGAGACGTATGTAATGATCATATCAATCACGTGTCGTTACTTAGCAAATTTGACATTATTTTATTTCAAATAAGTAAAATATACGCCTTATAAGTTTATTTCTATACCGAATAATCTCATTGATGACATTTCAAATCAATTGTTCAATCATGTCAATTGATTCGAAGATAAATTCTATACCATGCAAAGGTTATAATTTAATTTTACTTGATAGATAATTCGATTTTTTATTGAAACATATGTTCTACGTTATTTTCTTAACACATTTGTATTTGTTTTATCAAATTGAAATATTTTGTACTAAATTACATGGCAAAAATATAAAACATTTGCTTGATAGCCACTTGGATTAAATTTATTATTTAAGCTTGCAATATCATTATAGATAAAGTATGGTAATTATAAAACGATGCCGCTGGTTCACTGGAGTTTTGAGATTGTTACCTCAGAATACATATTCCAATCTCAAGCTATTAAACTACATAGCTATGAATTTTAGGCCGTGTACAAAGATTTATAGTTCCTCCACAATACAATACAATAAATATAAGAATGAAACAAATCCCAATATACAGAGGAATACCTATTCTTTGTTGAGGGTAGAAAATATATCGACTCGTGTCAAGTTAGTAAGTTTACAACAAAATAGATGTTTAAGCATCGCTGCAAAGCTAGTCAATAATGCCTCACCTAAAGTGCAACCATACATGAAGCTTATGAGGATAGATAAACCAACAGGTAAAACTTGATTACTTAATTATTTATTATATAATTAATAAATAATTATTGCATATACTTTAATTCTTTTCTAAATTTTCTGTTAGGAAGCTGGCTGCTATTTTGGCCTTGTGGATGGAGTATTGCATTAGCGGCTCCTGCCGGTGCCATACCAGATCTATATATGTTAGCACTTTTCGGTATGGGTGCATTTGTAATGCGTGGTGCAGGATGTACTATAAATGATATGTGGGATCAGGACATTGACAAAATGGTACAATCCTCTATAACGTTTTAATTTTGTGTTTTGGATTCACTATTTATACAGCTTATTATCCTAGGTAGTGAGAACGAAGGATAGACCTTTGGTAACAGGTCAAATAACGCCAAAACAATCGCTAATATTTCTAGCTGGACAGTTGAGTCTGGGATTGCTTATATTATTACAATTAAATTGGTATAGCATATTTCTTGGTGCCAGTTCGCTAGGTACTGTATGTTTTACTATTTATTTAAGATCTATAATTTTATATTTAAAATGAATTAAAAATATTTGATGTAATATATCTTGATCTTTCCTTTTAGGTCTAGTAATAATATATCCTCTCATGAAACGAATAACGTACTGGCCACAATTAATTTTGGGAATGACTTTTAATTGGGGCGCTTTATTAGGATGGTCAGCTATACATGGATCATGTAATTGGTCGATCTGTTTGCCACTTTATGTAGCTGGTATTTGTTGGACTATTCTGTATGATACGATATACGCTCATCAGGTAAATATAAAAAAAAAATGAAAAGTACAGCAGAAAATGTTACATTGTTCATCAATTTCTTTTTGTATATTAGGATAGAATGGATGATATTCGGATAGGTATGAAGTCGACCGCCATAAAATTTGGAGAAGACACAAAATTTTATTTATCTGGATTTGGAATAGTAATGATTGCTAGTTTAATTACCTCCGGTATATTAACTACTCAAACTTGGCCTTATTATACTGCCGTTGGATTAATTGCAGCGCATATTAATAATCAGGTTAAAAAATTATGAATTATTAATTTAATATAATTGCATCCATCATTTAATATAATTGCATTGATTAAAGTTATTTCTTTCTTTCAGATATATACTCTAAATATTAACAATCCTACGGATTGTGTCAAAAAATTCATATCCAATCAAAACTTAGGCATGATATTATGTATTGGGATTGTGTTAGGAAACTTAATGAAAAAATCAATACTGGAAAAAGAGAATGAAGTCAAAGAAACAAGGCATCAAGATATTGTACTGGATGAAATAAAAAATAGACATAATTTATAATTCAGTAAGAATTTTAAAATAGCACTTTTTAATTATGTAAAATAAAATTGGATAAAATAAGATAGAGATTATAAAATATAAATTCTACTTAATTCATATGTTAAAATTTTCAAACGCTATAATTTCAAATAAATATTTTTATATTTAATTGGAATTGGATTATAAATTAAGCATATTTTTTTATACTTTTAATGGCAACATCAATATGGTTTAATCATTCTCATAGTTATAAAAGAAGAAAATTTCTCACAGCTGAAGAAAATTAGTATCATCAAATAGAGCAAATTGTGATTTTTAATTGTAGTAAAACTTTTCATTATATAATAAAATCTATTATTGTGCTTGTGATAATACTTATACATTACTTTAAAATAAAATAAGAGACATTAAAACAAGAAAATCACATGTCTAGAATCTCAATTATTATTAATAATTCTTACAATGGCCATCTCATTTCTTATTAATCTTTGTTATGAAATTCTTAACCAAGTCATTTTTTTAATAATAACTATAAATTTAAATTTATTTTATACGTTATTGCTGCTTACTTTCCTTTTCCTTAATATGTTCAATATATTTGTCATGAGTTAACGTTGATTGTTTGAAATTTTCCAAAACTTTTAGATTTGGTAATATTATAGCCAAATATCCACCTTTATGTGGGAGTTTCTTGAGAAGTTGTGGGTTTTCTGACAATGCATTGTTAACTTCGATTAACTTTCCGACTATATAACATTTGATAACATACGTTTGTCCATCCTTGCATAATATAGTACAGATATTCGAATTAGTCTGCAATGGTTGTGCACCATGCTTACTTTTACCTGAGACTTTGTTCAAAGATCTATCCAATTTATCGCTAACCTTAAAGTCGACTTTCTGTATATCTTTGTTGTCTTGCAAAATGATGTGACTAGGTGCCAAGGATAGCATACAAATGCGATTACTATGAATCCATATACATGTATCATTTCCTAGTGATTGCGCATCCATTTTGTAATAAGGGGTAAAATAACGATCAGTAACAGTAGGAAAATTACCATTATATTGTACTTCGTCCAGCATGCCCGAGACATCCTCATCAGGGGGAAATGTAAATGACTCGTCATCGCTATCAACAATCGCTGATGTCTCCTTATCACTGTCAACAATTGTTGATGCCTTCTTATTACTATCTATTAATTCATCATACTCTTGTTCTTGAAGAGAAATTTCTCTTCCATCAGCAATATCTTTAACTGCATTTTCTAGCATATTGTCTTCTTCCTTCTTACACAATTTCTTTCCATAATCGTTTTCAGATTTCAATCGTTTGGTTTTTGGCTCGTCAATCTTCAATTCCAAATTCATGTTCGATCGTTAAAAGTATGTATTAGCACATACAAGAGTATATACAATTCGAATTAATTTAATCTAGAGTTGTCACAAGTAACACATATAGATTTCTCAACAGAATAATCAAATTATTTGAATTATTTCTGTAGTTTAGGACTTTAACCTGTTTTGGAAACGTGCGCTTTCTGTTCTATGAATTTCTCTCTGAAATAAATGGCGGGATTAAATCATATTAATTCCAGAGTCATATTAATTTCGGAGTGAAAATCGGGGACGACTTACTTGTTCTTTTATGCATTTGATCATCGCTTTGTGGATATGTTCACAATAACCCACTAACCTTCGATACGGATGCTGCAAATATATACAGAATTATTGAGACGGCACACGGTAAAATTTACGAGTGATATTACCTCAGCCTCACAATCCTGAAATTGGCGATATATCTTGTTACAAGCGGCATTGTGTGCTGCCAGCGATTTGTAATTCATATTTTTGTTTTGGTAAAATTATTTGTAAAATTTCTTCATACCTTTCATTATGCAATCGAATCCGAACGACAATTGCACTATTCGTGCTTTGTATATTTTCGTAGTTATATCTCGATGTAAGAGGGTCTTAGCATGCACAAACGTTGCCGTCATTGCCGTAAAGTCACTAGATTTATGAAGTACCAACAGCTTAAGAAAATCACAAAACTGAAAACATAACCTTCTGTGAAAAAAAGCGACATGTGATATTAAAATAATTAAAATAATTAATTTTGTACTTTATTATCATGCATTAATGATGTACTTTGTTACTATACACATGCGGCAAAAATAATTATTAAATAGTCCTTGGTTTTTCGTCAGGTTAATATTATGTTTTTAATTTTGCAGTTGGCAGTGCTGAAATTTAATCGGAAATTTAATCAAGTGTTTAATTGAAGTTGGCGAGACTGGCTCTAAGCACAAACAAATGACTGTGTTTCAAATTGACTATCAGCGCTGAAAATGCTACAGTTTACATTACGTGCATTATAGATTTTCAGTACAAGCAATTAATTTTGAAATATAGCCATGTCAATCGCGTACCAGACTCGGAGACATCAGACCTCGATTCGAATTCCAGCGGAGCGAGCTGATTTTCTCGTGCTATCGATTACGCTTTAGGTATTCGAATCATATTATTTCAAAATATGCAATATGAATGTTGAATGAGTATTATATTTTTTGCTTCTATATATATACATTTTAATGCACACACACCTCAAATTTACACAGCACGTCAGCATTTTTTTTACCACTCAAAAATACTCTTCAAACGTTATTACAACTCGCATATAACTCATATAATCGTATGCAATCGATTCTACCATTCGTTTTTACGGAAAAGTTCCTGTTAATTGCTATTTAAAATCGAAGTCGTACTCATTGAGTGGAATGCGCGTTTTCGCCACTCAAATTAGAATTGTTTGCGCGAGCTAAAAAAAAACGGGCTGGCATGATGAAACATTTTTATAAGAGTTTAATTTTTATTGCAATATTCATTTTTTTTCAATGTTACCTCTTAAATTACCTCTTATCCAAATTGTCCCTGAAAATTGATTTCAGTAAAATTGTACAAGTGAATCGAAAAAAATGATGTTGCATTGTAAGATTTAAAGAATAATTTTTCATGTTGAGTAAATATTTCTTAAATATGTGAGTTTCCTGCTTTATATTCAATTTACAGATGAAATTATTCAAATTACGCTGCTGTATCTTGCTGGATTTGAACTTGAAATCTAAAATTCCAAGTGAGTGAGGCCAAAGTTTATTTTATATTTTTATTATTTTATATTTAGTTTATTGCTATATTTATATTTAATTTGTTTTATTTTAAAACTATTAAGCTTTGTGCAATTATATGATTCCCAATTCCCTTATCAGACGTTTAAAGAAATGGAAGCAAAATCTAATTTAATTAAAGTTTAATATTATATAGAATAGAAATAATGAAAAATAAGAACAAGATTCATATGTATTTGATGGAGTTTAAAGTAGCGTAAGTTTATTTTTTATTTATATTCTTAATACAAAAATAAAATGATTCATTACTTTAAGATTATTTAATAAAGCAACCGATATAATTTTGGTGAATTTGAAGCTGGAATACGGTAAACACGTCTAAAAGGAATCGTGTTTGCATATTTACATTTAATGCAACGTTTGCAAAACTGCAATATTTAACATATGAATGATGTACATTTCTGTAGGAATATACTGTTTACAAAAAATACAGAAATGAATTCATAATTATACAGATTCCAATTGCTTTCCATGCTTTAACGTCATGTGGCTGACGTGCATGATGATCTTTGCATGAGCAATTGTTTATTTATCTGCCATGATTTAGTATGACCATGTTTATGTGTATGCGATCGTCCCGAAAATTCTTCGAATTTTATTTTATTATGTCAACAATTGTTATAGTAAATCATAATCCTACCGAAAATGTTATTTTAAAAAATTAAGTTTTTTTTACAAATCTAATTCACAGATAATTTTATATAATTGCAATTACTTATTGTTCTATTTTATTTAATTAAGAAGCAATATTCAGTACTAATTTTGATAAAAAATGCAAAGTTTATTATTTTGTCTGAAAGATTTTTTATTGCAAAATTTAATTTCTTAATTTGTTAAATATGTCGATAATCAATTGAATGTTAAAGAATGAATGGAATCTTACTGATGTTTATATTTAAATAACGATTTGTTTATAATAGTTAGTTTTTATGAAGATAATTTTTCTGGAGAAAAGAATTAATTTGAAGATTAGTCAAAGAATTTCTCTTTGAGAAGGCATTTATCTACGAACGTCTTGTATAACGTGTTGCCACGATCAGCGTTAATATTCTGAAACTATCATCGAAAGCATTTTTTCTGACGCGTTTTACGAGCAATCCTCGATATGTGGTACTGTTGTAAAGCGCGGGAACTAGAAGCTAACTTGTATCTGCTCTGCCTTGCTGTTTTACGATTATGATCGTCTTCTACGTTGCCACATGGCTCGCCAGTAGTTCCGGTCGAGGAATTACTCTCTGTAGTTCGGTACCCTGCCTCTTCTTTCTTCCGCCATCCTATTTCCTCTTGAGAGAGATATTTCAACCCTTTTCAAGACGCTGAAAATAGCGGCTATCTTCTTTCATGTACATCCTTGTACAAACTTACAATAGATACACTATTCTAGATTTTCTTTTAATATCATGTTGGAATTGTTGATCGTGCCAAGAAGAAAATATTTTTGCGTGTTTGTTATTAATATTTTTAAATGATAATTGCAGTTTTAATTTATTATATCTATTTATTAATTTATATATATATTAATTTATTAATTTTTATTTATTCTGCATTTCGTCTTGAAGTATTCCTCAAAAATTCATTATAATATAAATACTTCGAGTTTTAGTACTTTGAATACTCTGAAAATTCATAAGGAAATACAAGTATGAGCATATGCACGAGATGACGCGAATATCCAAATGATTCATGTATAGTCATGTCAGCTACGTGTAATGTACGTGTATTATTATAATTGTCAAATAAACAGTGCATTAAGTATGCAATATTATTTTTTCACATTAACGACGTGATAAGGAAACTAAATTTACATTTTATTGAATGTTATAAGTATGGTTGAACTGTATTTATTTATTATACAATATAAATTTCTACAAATTGCTATTACATAACTTCAAAATAGTCGCATGCTGCTTCTTTATTTTTATTATTATATTCACGTTGTTAAAAGATTAAATGTTGTTAATTTCATAAAATTTATTTCGCGAATAGTTTTTTCCGTAATAATTAAATAAATAATGAACGACGGTTATAACTTTTAATTTAAATAATTTGATAGTTATTGTATTGACAATTAGAATTTTTTTCTAATTAATATCACATGGAACAATTCTTAAAGTAACATTATAAATCAATTCAACAATTTTTTAAAACATTCGTTAAACTGATTGAATTATTTGCAATAAACATTACATAAATATAAATATTATATATAAATATCATATAATATTACAGTAAAATATTACATAATATTGTGATGTATCACAGTAATATTTCTTTTTTTATTCAATTGGATTCAACTGGATTTAATTGGATTGAAAAATTTTCTTATTCAGAATTTTGAATTGAGCAACACGATGCACAAAAAAAGTTAATATTATTTTTATTTAAAAGTGTAGAAATGTGCTTGATATATGCAATTCCTATAAATAAATAAAAATTCATTTGGATTGAAAAGGCTTTATTTTAACATTCGCGAACGTGTATTTCTAAAAATGTGAATCTTCTTCAAACCATTTCAATCCAATCTAAGTAGCACAACAGCGCCTGCAAAGCTAAAAAGCGTTTATATGCGCTTATATGCGCTTTTTCTTTACGCTTTCTTAATGGTTTGTAGGTGCTATGTGTTACTTATGCATTCTCGTTTACTTATTGGAATATACATTTTTCACTCTTTAATCCATAATTGAGTTTTTACATTTTATTTATAAAATAATCTTTACTGTAATAATGATAAATGGAAAGAGAAAAATTTTTAAATTATGTGATGGACTTTTTAATGAGCAACATACTCTCTAAAAGTAAATCAGTGTATTATACCGAGAAACAATAAATATTCGCTGATGATTTTATCAGTTATAAGTGTAGCACTGAAGTCAGTAATAAAGTAATAAATAATACGTTGATTCACTTTTAGAGAGTAGAGCATTTTTATATAATTATAATTTCACAAAATGCAAGAAAAAGAATAATAGTTAGTTTCGCAATACAAATATATATATGTACTTTATTTCTCTATATCTTACATATAATAGTGCTGTGGTTGTCGTTTCGTCAGATCTGCACAATCGCGCAAGTCTACTTTATTCTTCAACTTTTAATGATCTTTTATCTTTTATCGAATAAATCTATAATTTTCGTAATACATTGTGTGTGCGTAATTGACGTCCGAGTCTCGGCGATGGTATCCAAGGAAATCGTCGTCCTAAACGAGACGTGAATATCGGCGATAACAGATGGTCGTCCTCGTCGACTTCGTACGAATCTCCATAGGAAGGTAGATCCTCGCTCGATCCTCGTCCTAAACGTGGTGTAAATTGAGACGGTTGTCTCTTGTCGTTAGCTGAAATTTATTCTTGACAGTTATATTTAATGAGGAAAATTATATGGATTATATTGAATCTCGAAATTCGCGAATCGATACATCAATAAGTTTCGACGATGTCATTCAAAGCATCAGAATGTTAAATGAAATATCTCTTCGCTAGATAAATTTCCAAACGAAACTTTATGGGACGATCCTGAGAAATCGGGCAAATGAGAATGTAACGCAGATGTTGGAACGTGATCAAACAATAATGTCAATTATTAATTAACATTAAATAGTGCAGAACATAATTAGTGCAGAAAATTGATCTCATTAAAATTGATTTCATTAAAAACGAACGTTTCGATTTTTTTTCATCATCAGCGTTAATATTTATACAGTTCTTCAAAAATATGAGACATTACCTATGCATCAATAGCAGCCACTAAAAAATTGAAAGATTCTAAGTGAGGTGCATGAATTTCGTTACAATCTTATACAATTTATTTCTGGAACGGATATAAAAGATACCGTGTTATTGGCAAATTATAAATACTAATGAAAATGTGTGACTTACTATTTGATGCTGAGAGATGTGGAACAAAATTAGAAAATAATTATAAGAATAAAGTCCAAGAATTCGTGCAATAACCATTATAAAAGATATATATATATATATATAAATAGTCAGAGTATAAGATAATACTAATTAGTCAAGTTTACGGGGAGAATTTAAAGATAATAAAAAGGAAACTAAAATTTTGTTTGAGTAGAATTAATAAAAAAATATTTGTAAAAGAATTAAGAACAATTATATTCTAATAATTATATTCTATTAGAGTGACAGCTTTAGTTTGCAAAAGCATTTTTATTTTTCACAATTGTTCATAACTCGAATATCTCTGTATATAATTTTGTCGTAAAAAAGCTTTTTTCATGCTGCTCGAAGAATCTCGCTATGTGGAAGACAAATGCAAAATTAACGTTATAGCAAAAATTGACAATACTGTCGATTACATGTAATTATGATAAAAGAAAAGAATTATTGAATGTACTCTTATACTAGCAAAATAATGCGCAAGTTCGAATCATAATAATGTCTGTATATAGCGATGAATTACTTCAAAAGATTTCAATGAATTCTCACCGGGAATCGTGATGATCGCCCAACGCACGCCTTCCAACGCATTCGCTAGAACTTCTATCTCGGGACTCACTTCCTGTTTCTCGTCCGATCTACGTCGTTTTCCTAAACGAGGTCCGAACCACATACCGCTGGCGATGTCCTGCGGGGTACGTTTCATACACTTGCCTTCGGTACACGAGCCGTCGTTTGATCCGCCGTTCAAGCCCATTTCCCTCCCTTCTATGAACGCACAATTAATAAAACCAATCGAGACTTTAATGACTGCGTACGCAAAAATCGGTATTACCGTATTCACCGGAAGCGCGAGACCCCAAGCAGAGCAGCATAACCAGGATGCAGATGGTAGTTGCGCGACTAACGAGATTCCCGGTGACGATCATTTCGGATACGTCCTTTCTCGAGACTCTGTAGCGGAATAATGTCAGGCACGATGGTGATCCTCGGGGTTTTATACAGATGATTGTACAGCGTCGTTGTAAAGACATCGATGGTGTTTTTCCATCTCATTGTCTTTCACCTCTTTTCACACCCCCGAGACCAATCACGATGGCTAGCAAGAAACGATTCGTCTTTATTTCAAGCCTGTCTGTCCTACATACGCAATGAGGTTTCTGGATTCGCGCGCGAATCCATTCCTGGAACGGCAACACCCACGCACAGGGTGATTTCTATCCTCGTCCTCGGAGAAAAACGTTGTTGGTTTTCATTAATTCTTTCGGTTTCAATGAATGGATGTTACATCGATTTATTTGCTCAAAAATAGAAACATATTTTATTTTAATTTGCGAATGAATTTCATTTTATCGTACACAAAATGACTATAATCTTTTAATTTTATCTTGTAGAACTTTATATATATATTTTATTAATAGAGAAAGACAAGATTTTATATAATTAATGTATATAAATCCTTTTTTTACTATACATATTTATACGTTAGTTGATTTAATAGCATTATGATTATTAATTAAAAAATGCTTCCAATATTATATTGCACTATTGCAACAGATGATAGTCGTAAAGTGAAGCATCAAAATGTTTTAAATAATGATATAATTTTTGCAGAAAAGAAGATTTTGGTGAAGTATCTAAAAATTTAGCTAAATACAGGTCTGAAGGTAATTTTGAATTATTGAATTATTAAAATAATTATATATGTAGAAAATGTCTAAATTATTATAGTTGTTAGAATGTCAAAACTTTTTGTATCATTGCTTATCATGCTTGAGATTCCTATGTAAATATTATTTTTATTATTTACTACTGATGATTCAACAAAATTATTTTCAGAGCTCTGTAACTAGAACTAAATTTTAGATATTTTAGCAAAATCGTTCCCTTTCATATCTCTTGAATTGTATTAAAATAAATATTTTACCCAAACCCTATATTTAGAAAAATTTTTTTGTGTTACAATATTATCTTTTCTACTAAAATGATGAAATTTTATTTAAAGAACGTAATTAGAAAAAACTATTAAATTATAATTCAAGTTTCATATTTATTTCGGAGATTTACGAAATCGACTTAACATAATTATAAATAACATACATATACGTACACATACTTATAGATATATATTTTTACAAATCCTGTTTTTCTCGTGCGTATTTTTTATACCCCACGTGGTGTAATAAATGACTGCGGCTGCCTGACGTCCGATTGAACGAACGACGATTAGTCTTGAATTTAACTTGTCGATTGCCGGGTTAATTCAGCGATCAATGAGTTCGCATTCTTTGCACTTTCTCTATAAAAGCGTCGGATCGGTTGAGCGAACCCGGCATTATCTTAAAATCGCGTCGTGTCTTCAGAAATGTGCTGATATAAAATTCCGTATACTCTTATTATATATATCATGTTATTAATATTAATATATTACTCTTGTACAGTTTGTGCTTGTTATTACAAGAAAACGCGCACAAATAAAAAAGTGAAACTTTGCAAAGTTTAGTTTAATTACGCGTTTTGAATTAATGCTTTTGTATATTCGGAATATATAAATTTTGACAATTTACAGTTAATATACTTTGTATATTATTGTTTTGTTATGTTTTATCATTATATTTTTTATTTTTATTAGTATTAGTATTAATATTCATACCAATTATTTACTGCCGATGTCAATTACTTGTCTTTATATTATAGTTAAATAGCATACAGTTTTTATACTGTTGAAATGATATTAATTGAAATAATTGAAGAAAATTGAATGATTTTATCTAATTTATATATGCAAATTATTAATAATATTTTTTCATGTATTTAAGATCGTCAAGATAAGAAAAATATTTATAATTATAATCACAATATATGCATGTAAAGTTTTATCTAAATGTTTTTAAAGTATTCATTTTTTTGCTCTTTTCTTTAATTTTATATCATTATAATGATGCATTTTATATCATTATAATTTTATATCGGTATAATGGTGAGATTGTAGAAATATAACGCGGTACCTTTGCGAGTCATTAAAACAGACGCAAATTAATTTCGCAATTGTGCGCGTCTTTTTGGGACACACATACACATATATCACACGTATGTGCAATGAGTACATCTTATTCGAGGCTCTCCCGTAATTAGGGAGAGCAACTCTACACATGGATGTGTCGTGGTTTTTCAGTGAGATCTAAGTGGTCGAGTCACACTCGTCCTATGCTGACTACGTGCACCATCATACTTTTAATACTTGTCAAAGCAAACAAACGCCCGCTTCATACTTTTTTACCGCGATTTGGTAGACATACGATATAAGAGTACTTGCATCTGTCGAGCCGAATGTACGCTACGAAAATCTTCCCACGTAACGATATTTTTTGTTAAATATCTTTCTCTTTTCTCATATTGGAAAGATCATTCCCGATTTTCGCAGTGATCAACTCAATTATACTAACAATCTAATTAATCTGATCTAATGAATAATTCTACGTGATTTTTAGACTAATACGAATGAAAATTTTATACACTCATGTGTTTAAACAAAAAAGTATTTTGTTAAAATATTAAAATAAACGTTTGCACAATTATCATTATTGGGAACAAATCAACAAATTGATTGATATAGACGATCATGGGAGTGATAAGTCGACTTGATCGAAATATACGAAAAAGTCAGATAAATCTTCTGATGAACTATCAGGAATGTCTCGCATCTGGTGATGTGATTACTGCGTATCGTGATTACTGAAGTTTCATGGCATTCAGAGGTCTTTGTTTCGATCTTATCAGTCTGCTCAAACCATTACTTTGAATTAGCGATTAATCATTTGCGAAAGAGCTTCTCTCTAATTTCCTAGATCGACAAAGATTAGTGCTCTTTGAATTTTTCTGATAAAACTTCAGATTGTCATTGATCTATTTTTCAATTGATTTTCATTACACTTATATTTATTTAAATATATATATACACTTTATAAATATTTTTTATATATAGCGTTATGTATAACGATTGTAATATTTTTAATGATGTCACTTATTATAATTCGAGATATCTATTAAGCAATTTATTAAATGATTTTTTGATTATTTTAATATTTCTTTTTTTCCCGCGACAACTAAAAATATGATCACTCTTGTGCTTTTTGTGGATGGAAAAAATCAAGAGTAGGCACGTGCTATACTGGAATAGGTGCGAAAGAGGGGTAGGTGAATCGGCAACGCTTTGTAAACTCTTGCCCTGACGAAGCCCAGAACACCTTCTGCGGTCGACGATGCACGGAGAGTAAAAGAGAAAGAGAGAGAAAGAGAGATATAAACACTTCCATGGTACCGTAAGAACTTAGCTATTCTCAGTAGCCAGGAAAGGAGAAATCATTTCCTCACATGTGAAAACGAATTTCCGCAATATACATATATTTCTATATAAGCTGATTTCCAAACACTCATTGCATTATAATCAAAATTATAGTTTGCGCAAATATTTTATTAATCGGACTGTCACTTAAAATTAAACAACTACGAAGTGTCTTTCAATAATTTGGTACACAGATCTATAATCTTTGTAATAAATTTAAAGACAATTTTTATTTATTTATTTATTTTTATTTAAATAATAAAATATCAATGTTTTTATAAAAAATTAAAATTAGCGCCTTTGTGAGTAAAATTTCTAGTCCTTGAGCAATAATTAAGCAGCGAAATTGTATTGTTTGCTCCAATTCAAGCGGGCTTTATCTTACTGACATTTCAATTTGAAATACAATTATATGAAAGGAGCGATTTTGTTCAAAGTACATAAAAATTTAGCTAAATACAGACCTGAAAATAATTTTGTGCCAGATCATCAAAATAATTTTATACATATCCTTAAGCATGATAAGCAATGTTGTAGAAAGATTTGATATTCTAGCAATGAGCTTGAGCATTTTACATAATTATTTTTACGTCTTCTTGAATATCTCTATAAATTGTCTCTAACAAAATTATTTTTAAATTTATATTTAACTAAATTTTTTAATACTTTGGCACCATTCTTTCTATTTACCTAAATAGTAACGACTTCGTACGCTACTGTGAAGTCGAGCCTAATAATTTAACAGAAGTATTCGCAAATAATTCCTACTATGAAATTGAGCGTACAAAGAATTGTTTTCGAGATAGAATGCTTGACAGAGAACACTGACGTCGGAGAGCTAAGGGTTAATACTCTGACACGTCGAACATGCAAGAAAGAGAGAGAGAGAGAGGGGAGAGAGAAAGAGAGAGAGAGAGAGAGAGAGAGAGAGAGACCTGAATATTTACTGCGGTATTTTCTTACAATAATAACAGACTATTCTATCTTCAGATCTGAATATTAATTTCGATTTTATCAAATCAGAATTTAATTGATTAAAGTCTCATATATAATATTAAGTAACAAGTCTAATTAATCCTCCTTGCTTAACTCGCCATTTCGAAATGTAATTCATAATTTATTGGAAAAATTCTTAAAAATATTAACACTTTACTTATCAGTTTTACATCAATAAAAATAATATAAATTCTGATAAACTGTGTAATATAATTTGATCAATATAACTGTGATAATTCAGGCAGTATAAGGTAAATGTCTCGATAACTGAATGTGTTCAGTGATTAAAGAAATCAACAATATATTTGTAATTATTTAAGATATTTGTCAATAACAGCAAGAGAATGACAAACTAAAAAGAAGAATATTAAATAAAGAATTTCTTAAGACTTAAAAAGAAAAAGTGAAATATTTTGTATCAAAATAAAATTGCAAATTATTGCGACAAAAAATATTTATTTCAAGTTTTGTAGTCATATTTACATCTTACTCATTTTAACAAGACATGTGTCTATATTTTTAATTTTTTTAAATATTGTATTTACTTAAACGTAGTGTGTATTTTATAGTTGTAAGAAACTGAAAATTATATTTAAAAAATTTGTGTTATTACAGCTTCAATTACTATTATAGTTGACATGGTGTAATGTATCAATGAAATTTCACTTAAATGTTTCTTTTTTTAGATTTATATGAAAGTATTTTTCAATTATTGACGAAATAAAGTTTTATGTAGATACAAATTCTTTTTGTAATGCCATTAATTAACAATCAATAACGAGAACTAATTACACTTCCTTATTAGTTCAGTCATCGAGACATTTATCTTACGTTGTTGAATCGTTCAATTTGTTATTAGAGCACCGTGGTTTAATAGTTGGATGTAGAAAGAATTGTAGGATCAAATAACAAAATACGAGGGTTCGTCAGCGTTAGAAGAGCCGGCTGAAATGTTTACGACGAAGCAACAGCAAGGCTCAATTATTAACATTCTCGAAGTCTCGTGGACGTGCACGCTCGCATATGATATAATGCCACTCATTTTGATAAACAAACGCCTCGTCAATCGCTTTGGTAATATCGATCCCGAAGTTTGTGATCACTCGCGTACAATACACAAAACCGACAATGTTGTCTTCGACTGGGTCATCGAATCGTTGTTTAGGTACGATGGACATTGATAGACCGATGCTATCAAAGACAATCGTAAATATTTAGTCTCAGAAGAATTAAAGTTCTTGATATCAAAAATTATTTATGCTAATTTAACATTTAATTAACCGTAAAGTGGTATGTAATTCAAAAATTTTTGGGGTAGTAAATTTGGTGTGATAATAAAATTAAATAATTAAATATTTGAGTTAATTAAATCTGGAAATATATTATACGTGAAGTTACTTTATAAATGAAGAATATGGAATTGTTAGCAAAAAGTCGTGCTTTAGAGCGATAGTATAATTTTTCTATAGAAGTTTTTTTCTTGAAAATTGAATAAATTATAAAAACATTTTTTATGCGATATGACGCGAGTAATCGAATACAACAGTAATAAATTTAAAGATTAGCAAGTGAGCGAAATTAATTA